ATTTGTCATGTTTTGTAAAAGAAGCATTTCGACTATATTGCATTTATTGGACCCGATGAAACTATGTTCGTGAGTGGTTCTATAACAATCAAATTGAAAGTTATGGAAAGGTCCTTCTGAAAAGGACATTTGACAAGGTGTTGACTCTAAACAATGTTTGTATCACACAAAATTGTAAGAAGTAGGAACAAAATATTTGTGAGAAAAAGGTACCTCACAGAGAGCTTTCTAAACTCAATATTTTTATTTGTTCTTACTTGCTTGAGTCAAACTGTTTGTGACATGAACACTTGGGACATGTCAATTACAAAACCATGCAAGGAAAACTGATCAACTTAGAAATTTTGTCTAACTTTGAGTGCAATAAAAATGTCAAGTTTGTGTTGAATCTAAGTATACTAAGCATTCTTATAAATCTGTTGAAAGGAATTCTAATCCTTAGAGTTGATTTACACTGATCTATTTTGTATGAAGTCAACACCATCTAGTGGTGGGAAAAAGTCTCTCATAATTTTTATTGACAATTGCATTTGATACGGTTATGTATATTTGATGAATGGCAAGGATGAAGCAATAGAAACGTCTAGGCAATATAAATTTGAAGTTGAAATCAGTTGGGAAAAAGATAAGAAGTGATTGGGATGGAGAATATAAATCTTCTTTTGCAGAAATATGTTTGGAAAGTGGATTTATCTATCAAACTACTACCCTTTTCACCTCAATCTAATGGAATTGCAGAAGGAAAAAACCAAACTTTGAAGAAAATGATGGCAACATTACTTATAAGTTCAGGTTTACCATAAAACTTGTGTGGAGAAGCTCTCCTTACAGCAAAAGAGAACAACAAAAAGTTGTCTTTTCAGAAATAAAGCAATAAAAAGTTTTGATTGTTCAAGACACTATGTATTCCATATGAGAAATGGAAAGGAAGGAAATCCAGCTTGAAATATTTCAAAGTGTGGGGGTTCCTAGCCAAAGTCCAAGTTCATACTCCTAAAATGATTTAAATAGGACCTAAGAATGTGGACTGTAAAATTAGACTTGAGTAGTCTAGTGAAGGGTCTAAAAGACCTTGGAAAGAACAAAAGGAGAATGTACTTAATAAAGAGATTCATAGGCGTAGTTAATGTCAAAGGACATCTATTTCCTTCGAATCTGATTTTGTAACATTTCATATGTCTTTTGTGGACTCAACCTTTTGGAAAGATGGTGTCAATAGTGAGATTCATTAAATCTTGAGTAACCATATTGGAAGTTGATTGATCTTCCTCCGGGAAATAAGCCTTTAGGTTCAAAGTGAATCTTCAGAAGGAAAATGAAAGTCGATGGAATGGTTGACAAATATAAAGCAAGACTTTTTGTCAAAGGCTTTAGACAAAAATAAGGTCTTGATCTTGTCGACACATACTTGCCAGTAACTAGAATTACATTCGTTCAGATATTAATTGCATTAGCTGCGGTATATGACCTCCAAATTCATCAAATGAATGTGAAAACAACTTTCTTAAATGGAGAATCGGACAAAGAAATTTACATGGAACGACCCAAGGGTTTTGTGGTTTCTGGTAAAGAAAAGAAAGTGTGTGAACTTGTTAAGTCACTTTATGGACTAAAACAAGCACCCAAACAATGACATAAGAAATTTGACAAACCATGTTTGCAAATGAATTAAGAATGATGGAAGTGATAAATGTGTTTACATTAAATCACAAGGTCATTGTTTGTTTGTATATTGGTGACATGTTGATCATCAGTAGAGACACTAATGACATAAATGTGAATAAACATATGCTAGAAAGCAACTTCGATATGACAAATCTCGGAGTTGCTTTTGTGATCTTAGGTATAAGAATCCTTAGAACTCCATAATATTTAGCATTGTCACGGTCTCATTTCATTAAATGGATACTTGACTAGTTCAAATATTTGGATTTTAATATTGTCGAGACTCCAATAAATGTGAGTTTTGCACTTCAAAAGAATGAAGGCAAAAGTGACTCACAATCGGATTGTGCTAGAGTATTGGGAAGTATGATGTATATCAGAAAGTGTATGCGATCAGATATAGCATGTGCCATTAATAAACTGAGTCGGTTCATGAGTAATCCTAATCGAACTCATTGGATGACAATGAAAAGAGTTTTGGGGTATTTAAAACATACTCAAAACTATGTATTGCATTATAACAATACCCAACGGTATTGAAAGGATATAGTGATGCATATTGGATCATCAGGATCAAGTGAAGTAAAATCCACGAGTGGATTTGTATTTACTCTTGGTGGAGGAGTAGTCTCTTGGAAATCTTCCAAAAAGACATGTGTCACTAGCTCTACAATGATCTTTGAGCTAGGTGCTCTAGATAAGGTCGGTGAATAAGTTGAAAGACTCAAAAATTTCTTAATAGATATTATTTTTTGGCCCAAACCTTTGGCGTCAGTATGCGTACTCTTTGATAGTCAAGATGCAATAGGTAGGGCATGGATCATGATGTATAACGGAAAGTCTCGTCGAATAAGACAGACAGAATACCGTTAGAAAACTACTCTCTAGTTGAATTATCACAATTGAGTATGTAAAGTCAAAGGATAATGTGTCGGATCCACTTACAAAAAGGCCTAACTAGAGATAAAGTTGAAAGATCATCTAAGGGAATGAGCTTACGGCTTAGGACAAATCATCATGGCAGTAACTCTACCTAGCAGACTGGAGATCCCAAGAGCTAGGTTCAAGGATAAAAACAAAGTTGTTGGTAGGAGCGGCGGGATGATGATGAGTATATAAATCAGCGCTCACTCACTCGTATCTGAAAAGGCAGGCGGGGGTGATCAGGTGAAGCCCCCCTTCTCGTTGGCACGGATGAATCAGTTACATCTTGTTCCTACTACTACCGAGTAGAGGACATTTCATTCACAGACCTTGATCTTTAAGGTAAAAGTGGGCCTTAGCTGACTGACGGTTCGGCATTGTCAACCAACTTAATCTATTCTCATGATGAAGACAATGCTCAGGAACAAGGATACAACATTAAGTCTTGCTAATGAGTTAATAATGCTTAAATTTTTTAATGATTTGCTAAGTTTGACTGATTTGACCAAATAGTGTATCTACGCGATAACACTGTTAGAAATCACCTATGTGAGTG